TTTCGTACGAATAGGAATTACGGAAAAATTCTCGCTTTAAATTCATACGTGAAAATGGTCCTTTGAGCAAAACAAATTTCAAATGGTCAGCCGCATGGTTCGAACAAGTTCGAACTATTTATCGGATGTGAATTTTTTTTATTCTCTCGTACTACGGGTACATTTTTTACACTTTTACACATCTTCATAATTTCAAAACTCTACGTCTTAAAAATTTTTGCGCAGTAAAAATAAATAAATTAAATAAAAAAAATGCAACGCAAATTTCAACACTCAAAACAGAGGTAGAAGTTACTATTACTTTTTTTTAGCATGGAGGGAAAATGTATTTGAAATAAAAGTATATTTAAAATTAAAATATATTTACGAAACAAGTAATATATAGTTTTATTTTTTTAGCCAATACTCTTGGCTCGTTGTATGAGGAGGAACATTACATGTCTTGTAACACGTGTATGCTCTGAGGTATTTCAATTGTCATGCATTGCAACAGAAGTGTGCAACCATCTGGGAGTGTACAACAGAAGTGTACTTGAAATCATCTGGGCTTGGATTCTTCATTTGTTTGTTTCTCGATGTTTTGAAATAAGTTTTTACTGTTCAAGTCCTCCTGAAAACTTTCACCGTAATAGTACTTCACGACAATAGGTTCCAACAACCACAGCCCTCCTGATATCACTGAAATTCCACCCAGCAAGTAGAACATACCATCATATGATCCAACATAATCCCTGAAATATCCTGAAGAAAAAAAATCATTTTTAATGAACATGCAAAGAATGAACTTGGGATTCCAAACATGGTATTCTGTAATTATTACCATTAATTCGTATAATTTAAAGTTCCTTTTCAAAATTAAAGTGGAAATTATAGACATATTAAGAGTCATAAATTAATATTCAATCAAGAAAAAGTTATCGAAATCTCATGAATCATTGCTGAGGAAGGATGAACTGAAAACTTTAAAACGTATTCGACTGCCTTAGGAAAAAGAAAGAAACTGTTATGCGTTTATTAAAAACACACAAAAGTTCTATGATACAGTCAAATTGATTTTTGTGTTTTTCATTCTAACTCCCTGGCTAGTGATTCGACAAGTTTAGATAACGATTTAGCTTTATTTTCACTTAAATATTAACTTATGCATGCCCAAAATGCGTAAACTTTTTGTCTTATATTCTCACAAGGATCCAAAAAGTACATATAGATTAAGTTTGGTCATTTCACAACACCATATATAATACGTTTATTTGTTTCTTGGCTTCAACTGAAGCTAATACCTTGCAGGTTAACATTTTGCAAGAAAATCGATAACAAAATAAATGGTAACACATAACAAATTATTGTGGTAGAAAATATTACAATAATGCAGGACATATCAGTTTATACTAAATATAACGTGCATCTGTTCGCTAATAACTCAAGAATGATTGCATCGATTTGTAATACGCTTTTTGTTTAGTTTGCGAATACCTCAGAGGTGATTTATAAACCATCTTTACTTTCTTGACTGGCAACAACACGGAGAAAAAGGCTGAATAAAGAGGCCGTGGACTATTTAGAGGTACACGAGCTCCTATCGGAGGGTTCCGATGGCGCAGTCCAATGTTTCCCAAACTTATGACTTTTGTGTACCCTTTCTAAATTTTTCGCAAAGCTGTGTACCACTAATAAAAAAATTTACATATTTTTACTATAAAAAAATTGTACAAAAGTTAAAAATCACAACTCGTTGTTGACGCCACTAATTATTAACTGTTAACTCTGCAAAAAATAGCCAATAGAAAAATACGTAATCGTAAATTTTCATGGCTAGCTTTGTTTTTAAATAAAGGTTTTTGAAATTCTCGTTTGTTGCAAGATATTTCGCATAAAAACGCGAAACCACTGCTAAACTGTTCCCGTACCCCTGGGGGTACGCGTACCGCACTTTGGGAAACACTGGCGCAGTCCATAAAGACATCACTGACGCTGAAGATCTGCAAGTCATGAGTTTGATTTTTGAGATAATAAATTTACGCCATTTTGTAATACATTTTCTACATTTATTCTTTGTGTTATTTAAAATAAATGTAGTGTTGTTGTTTTAGCTCTCCAATCTTTATTTACGAATCACATAGCACAACACTCCGTAACAGAAGTTCACCGCAGTTATAGCACAGTAACTATAAAGAGATAAGGTTTACATAACATCTTAAATCTACTGCTTCTTACCTATCATTGGTGGTATAGAGAATGAAACCACTCCTGAGAGCAATCCATCGTTCGCTAAAGCCACCGCTTGGCTGTTGTTGTCGATGTACTTGAGCACTAGAACCGGGAACAGCACCAACATACTTCCTGCTGCCATTCCGTAGAGCACCAGAGTCGTCATGAAGGTATAAATTGACATGGCCATTGGAAAAAGGGCAATGAAGACTCCTTGTAACACCAGCATCCCACACATGAAAGCGGGTATGGTCATGAGGTCTTTGTCTGTCACCCAACCAAAGCCAAGTCTACCTGAAAGATAACAAATGAAAAAAATAAAAATCATTTACTTTTTACCGACCGGATACTGTCAGTGAACTGGCCTTGCATCATAAAGGTTCTGAGTTTGAATCCCAGGATGCTCTTTCATTCTCTGTACTATCTGTCCTTACTGTGGGTGCAACGTTAGCCCACCTAATATGGTGCCCCTGAAGAAGTGGCCAACAAATCTGCCCTTCAGATGCATATATAGACGAAAGGTCATTCCCCAGGTAGGCATTGAAAAAAAATTGTTCTGTCAGTCTATTTGAAGGCGTTATGTTTCAAATTGACCAACCCCCACAAATTCTTTAAATAGAAATACATTTTAGAACAAAGGATGTGATATAGAATATTATAAGCAATATACTTACCAACTAACTCTCCGAGAGCGAGTCCGTAAATGAGATATTTCCCATAGCTCTCATCAATTCCTTTATCTATGGCGTAATCCACAGTCACAGTTAGAATTGGAATGAAAATCATTGTGTAAGTCGACGCGCACACATTTATGAGAATGTAAACTGGATTTTTGAACACCCTTCCCATGGTCCTAATGCTCTCCATGATGCTCGGGTTTTCATTTCCTTTTGCTTTAATTTGTTTTTCAGAATACGGTGGAACGTCGCCATCTTTTTCAGCGACTTTGTCCGTTGAGTGCAACGTTCCCTTTTTTTCGGCTGCTTCTTCAGAGATAGGCGGAACCTGTAAAATGAAAATTTTATCACTTATTTATTGAATGAATACCTAAATACCTGAGTAATGAATCAGTTGACTTAATGATAATATTTTCACTAAGTGGCTCAGGGGATAGAGGATGATGAGGTGCCCGGGTTCAATCCTAGCGATACCTGGTTGATTCGAAGTGCTCGCCCTGCTCGCACCGACCACACTATATCCTCAGTGAATCCTCAGTGATATCACATCCTCAATGATAGACGGATCATAGTTTAGAGTCCCTTTGCCATCAGATTAATCGTGGAAGGTTTTCGTGGTTTTCCTCTCCATGTAACGCAAATGTGGGTTAGTTGCATCAAAAAGCTCTCTACTAATGAAAATTTCTTCCAATATTTGATCCAGGAGTTTTTTCTTCTGAATTGGGTTCAAAATTACTAGGCTAAGGAGTTGAACATTAGTAGCCGTAAACCCTAAATTGGGTCAGTTGTTCAACGACGGTATTAAAATAAAATATTTTTATTAGATTTTTGAATACTATAATCGATAATAAAATATTGTTTGAGTTTTTCTTTTATTAATAAGATATTGTTTGCATCTGTTGTACGTGATTGTAGGAAACGTTGTTGTATAAATGACTGGTCATCTTTTCATTTTCTGTCATTATTATTTTTCATACTTTATAATAAAATGTTCATATTGTTAAAATAAACTAATTTTTTTTGTTTTCGTGTTTGGAAAGTTTTAGGATTTGAAATAAAAATCAAACTTAATTAAAATATTTCAACTAGAGCCTTTGTTTCCAAAGAAATTTTCCAATCTTAAGAATATTATTCCGTCCTCCTATGAAACTTACTAGAGGGGAATAATAGTCTATGATGACTTCTGCTATACCTGGAAATTAAAAAAAATAGAGTTATAGTTCAGATACACCAGTTTACGAGCATTCAACGACTTCTCATTACTGAGCTTTAAAACTTCAGTTAAAAGTTTCAGAATACGTAAAATCAGCAGCTAAGATATCCAATAAATCTTATTTGAAGTGTAACAATCTCTTATTCATCTTAGAATTAAACAACATAAATATTAGGTACAGGTTGTTTCACTATTAAAGCGACACATTTAATTTTACTGCCTGCTAGATCACCGGATCTTGGGTCAAATGAAACATCGTGGTACAAGACTGGGTAGACACTATTGAAATCGTCGTCGTTTTTATCTATGTAAGTGAGATACGCCAAGAACCTTCCAGAATGTTAACAGTTCTATGTAGCACCACCGTGAAATCTAGAGGACTACGTCAGGTCAGAATTTTCAATACTTTATTTACATAGCACTAGAACATCACAATGGGTAATTGGCAATTGTCTGGGAAACATTCATCCGTAGACATGCCATCACAATTTCGCTCCTCTGCAAAGAATACGCTTTGGATGCCCGACGACCAGTGCATGAAGTTGGTCACTTAATGGTAAAACAGTTTAACAAGAACCAATACCACGCACTCTGGACCAGGCTGATCAGAGTGGTCACCCAGCTAGTAATACTTGACCTCGGTGAACTTCTATGAATTGGGTTTTACTCTCAGTCCACTAGGAAAGTCCTGTAGTATGCTACTGTTAACTATATGTCATAAGGATTGCTTCTATAACACATACTTATTGAGTTTACTGTTCATTTGCCTTGCATTTTCCATCGCAGCTAACTTGAAACAATTTTGGTCGCTGCAGTGCTATTTGAATTTGATTCTTACCTCTTGAACTCCTGGAAGCTCCCCACACTATACTCTGTTGCAAATTACGAAAACCCATTATCCCTAAATGGAGAAAGCCTGTTGGCATCTAAGTGCACGCCAAATGGATGCCAAGCCCCCAGAGCGAGCATATATCAATATCGCCCACTCTTGAAACGGCGTTGCATAGCCTCCTTTCTGCTTGCTTTTTTATTAATAATAATAGCAGTTATAAACAACAATAATTAATTAACAAGTAATAAGAATTAATAAGAAAATGATTTCTAGAAATCGTAGAAACAATATATGTCTTTCTGTTATTCAACCGAGTTCGCCCAAATTTTGCGTTTTACCATGCAAAATTATATTCTTTAAAATGATGTAAATAACTGTACACCTCACAATTCAAAATTTTTTCGATCGTCAAGACACGGTTCTCATCAGATCACCGAAGTCAAGCATCACTGGCTGCGGTCAGTGTGCGGGTGGGTGACCCACTTGGATCAGTCTGCGTAGGGACCGAGGGTGTGCGGTATTGGTCCTCGTTAAACTGTGCTACCGTAAAGTGCTCGACTTCGCGCGCAGGTCGTCGGGCTACCGAAGCGGGGGTGCCATCCCTTCCGCAGAGGATCAAAATTGTGATGGCATGTCTTCGGATCATCCTCCGGGATGTTTCCCAGACCGTCGCCAATAGCCCATTGTGCAGCTCTAGTGCGACGTAAATTAACAACAACAACAACAACAATCAAAATTTTTTCGACTATTATTCAATAAAATAATAAAAAATTATAAATATTTACTAACATTTATTTTTTGGAATTATTTTTGGACAAACAAATTTTATAATTGTGGGCAAAAATTCTTCAATTCGATTCTTTCTGTTCTCGAGATATAGTGTAATACGCAAAAAGTAAAATTAACATCAAGGGGCTCAAACTTTAGAGCGCTTTCCTGACCTAACCATTGGGATCATATTCTCCAGACTGCGGCTACCCCCTATATTTTGGGGGTCGGAAATCCAAATCCATCGAAAAAAAGGTATGTTTATTTAGAAAAAGTACGTTTTTGTTTCCATTTTCGAAACTTGAATTATTGTCTGCACTTATTAATTAGCATACTTAAAGTCACCCCCTTGAGCCATTAAGATTGAGTGTTAGTACGTAAAGATCCGATCATTAGATCAAAAGTTATTCAGGATGGTCCGCATTTCTTTCCTTTTTCTTTCTTTTTTTTTGCGTACTAAACATATGATGACATATACATTTATTCTTGAAAAAAAACGTTGCAACCATCATTTAGAGCAGGGTTTCTTAACCTGTGGTTCATGAGCCCCTTAGGGGTCCATGGGTCATATTTTGGGGGTCCACCTACTGCTCCTAATTTTTAAAACGTTTGGATCAATAATATTTAAATAGCATTGATCTTTTTTTCTTTCTAAAAGGTGAAAATACATACGTATTTGAAACTAGGTGATCGAGATACCCCAAATTCAGTACGGACTGCACACAGCCCTCTAATATCCCTGTCATATTTTTAACATCCTCCACTAACCGGTTTTCAGTTTGCACCACCCAAGGGCAACCCCTGATGACGATAGTATTCCCGCTGTACTATTTTTATTATCCCCTGTCAAGCTACGTACATTTGACACCTTGTTCAGGTTACTAGATCTAGAATTTTTTACTAAGAAGAAAGCCCAGTTTTTGAAATTTGGAACATTAGACAAACTTGGATTTGGTATTCCACAAAAACCTCTGGTTGAGGCATCTCTCAAAGTTGCATATCATATTGCTAAAAGCAGGAAACCACATACTATTGGAGAGACATTAATTAAGCCATGTGCGCTGGAGATGGTTGAATTAGTTTGTAGATTGGAACAGAGGAAAAAAAACTTGAGGCAATTCCATTTTCAAATGATGTGACACATTCAAGAATAGTTGAAATTTCTTGCAATATCTTGAAAAAAATCATCGATGAATTGAAAGTATCGCCTTTTCCCTTTAGTATGCAACTGGATGAAACTACAGATATCTAGAATTATAGTCAAGTTTTTGTTTTTGTTCGTTACGTGTCTCTTGATACTATCAAAGAAGAATTTTTATTTTGTGAGTCTCTTTTGCAAACTACAAAGGCAGTTGATGTTTTAGCAATGTTAAATGTTTTCTTTACCAAACAAGACTTCGGCTGGAAAGAAAAACTTCATTCACTTCGTACAGATGGAGCACCTGTGATGCTTGGCAATAAATCTGGTTTTGCCCTGTTGGTGAAAAAAAAGTCTCCTAATGTTCTTGTTACTCATTGTCTTTTACATAAACATGCGCTGGCTACAAAACTCTTCCAACCAGCTTAAAAGAAGCATTATCAAACGTTATTAAAACTGTAAATTTTATTAGACGTAGAGCTCTTAATCATCGTCTCTTTAAAACGCTGTGTCAAGAAATAAGCGCAGAACATGAGGTACTTCTGTACCACACGGAATTGCGCTGTCTGTCACGAGGGCAGGTTTTGAAACAATTTTTCATGTTGAAGATCGAATTATCACTTGTTCTAGAAGAAAAAGATAACTCATTTTTCGAATATTTAAACAAAAAAGATTTTACCTATAAATTAGCTTACCTGGCAGATAATTTCATCCACATGAACAATATAAGTCTTTTAATTCAAGGACCCGATATCACCATTATGGATGCAACTGAGAAACTACAAGTATTCTAATTGAAGATGTCACTTTGAAAAAAATAGAATTCAAAATGAGATATATGCAAACTTTTAAATGTTGGAAGAAGTGCTTTCTGAAAATGGATCTTGGCAAGATAATTTGTTACTGAATAACTTAAAAAATGAAATCTGTGAACACCTGGAAGTACTTCAAGTTTCATTTAAAAAAATATTTTAATTTAGATGAGATAAAGATAAAAGATGAGTTGTGGATTCGTCATCCTTTTCTTTGTAATATTGACTGTATCCATGATTATGAACCTTACCAAAGATGAGCTTATTGATCTTAGAACAAAGTCCTTGCTAAAAATGGATTTTGATTCAAAAACACTCGGAGAGCTCTGGTCTTCTGTGAAAGTAGCCTACCCATTGCTTGTAAAGCGAGCTATTTCAGCTATACTTCCGTTAGCTACAGTGTATCTTAACGAAGCCGGAATTTTCCAGAATTGTGACAATAAAAACAAAACATCGTTATCGATTGAATGTTGAACATGTTATGCGCGTTGCTTTGTCGGAGACCATCCCTCTATTCAATTTATTAATTAAGGAAAAGCAGCAACAGCCTTCAGACTAAAAATTTTAATTTTAAATATTTTGTATACTATTGAAATAATAAAATTAAATGCTAAAATAAATTAAATACTAAAATTGATGTTTTTTGCAATTTTTTTTCTCAGAGGGGTGGTCCGTGACTTCTAAAAAAATTTTAAAAGGGGTCCATTGTATCAAAAAGGTTAAGAAACACTGATTTAGAGCTACAAAAGCAATAATTGAGCATTTTAAAATACATAAAGAGAGATAAATGCTTACGTGTGTCTGTTTCATTAAGTAGCGAATGCAAACGACTTTCTGTTCTTCCTCAAAATTTGAAAATCTCTCGTTTCCTTTTGAGTAGAAAATGTCTTTACTGTTAATGGGGTACACGAGCTCTTCAACTGGATTGCTCAGTGATCGCTGGCGAGCAAATTTTTTGGGGTCGTAAACACTCTCAAGCTCATGTTTCTCAAGAATGACTGTAACATCTGTATTAATTGCTTCAACGGATTCTTTCAGTTTGTTTGCTTGCTCAGCTTTTTTTCTAGCCACTGCAAGCCAATCAATCATTTTTAGAATATACCAAAATAAAAAAGAGCAATATGATAAAATGCCAAAAAAATTATTTTTATATAAAGGATCGATTTTCACGTACCTAGCTCCTATCTTTCCCAATACGAAGAATCCAATTCGAAAATCCAAATTGATTAGTGCTAATTAATAACTAGGCCGTAAAGGCACATTCTTAAATGAAAATTTAGGTGGACTGGAAAGTAATTCAGTTTCGGTTCATTAAATATTCATTAGTCTTAAAAATCCATTCATTTTTTCGATCCAGCATTGAAAGGTTGATTGCTAACGAGGGTGAATACATTATTAATTTAAAATAAAATCTTGATAACAAATGTCAAATGCACCGAAACGACATTACTTTCCGGTCCACCTAATACACCAAATAATTTTTAAAACATCATAATATTTACAGTTTCACATACCTCAACAATATAACAACTTGGCAATGCTCGTTTATATGTTACTAAGTTTAATTAAGAGAAACCTCATAAGTTTCCTTGTTTAAATCGTTTATAAGTTTAAGTTACCTCGTTTTTAAGTTTTTGATATTTAAAAGTAATTTCATTCCCTCCCCAAGTCATTAATACTAGAAGCGTTTTGGGGGTCATTTTAACAGTTTCTTATAATTTCTCATGTTGTTTTTGAAGATACTTGGGGCTCATATTTTTTTTTACTTTTTAAAATTGCTTTTAACTATACACAGTTTAAATTATGGACTTTTACGTTGATTACTAAAGTAAATAATCATAGAAATATCTAAGAAAAACCAAAAAGGATCATTTTAAACTTTAAACAAAAACTTTTTAAGTATCTAAAGATATAAGCCTGAATTCGATTTTGCAAAATTAACTTTGCGAAGGTGATTTAAAGAACAAATTGGAGACCACAGTGTCAAACAAAATATCATACACTTGTTTCCCATGCATTTTATATATTCTTAGATTCGATGTCAGAAGTAGCTTATTTGAGCTCTGATTGAATTAAAAATTCGTTATAGCGCCTGAAAATATGCACATGCTAATTATAAACAGTTATTTTAATTATAATTCTGGGCAAGAAAGAATTTTCTTGAACAGCTATTGCAATGTAAATCCTGAAGCAGACTTATTGCATGACGAACAAGTCAAATAACTTTGAATTCAAATTTTTGTTTCCAACATATAAAATCCAAAAAAAATCATTTTTAATAGATTTCTGTAATAATAGAGATACTATAAAGAAATTGTGCCAGTTGAGAAACAAAATTACAACTTGGGGAAAATATGGTGCTATTATGGAGCTGTACCTAAACTCCGGATACAGCAGGACTATTGATATTTCTTCTTTACCTCTGTGAAACTTGCGGACAAATTTTTTTCCTAAAAAAATCGCAATATTGGGAAAGTACGTCTAAACGAGAGAAAATTTCTTTTCAATTTTCAGTGCCACTTCTTCGCAATATCATCATTTTCGTCAAAACAAAACTCTTACTATAGATCTATAGACATGAGCTGAAGATAAAAAATGCCATAATTCTGAACAGTATTCATGCGAGTGTTTGTAGACAAAGCACAGAGTAGAAGCCAGGCACTGTCACTTACTACAATAGTATGAAATGGGACGTAGACTTAGCAAACTAAATGCTAAGTAATTATTCTACAGGACAGGGCTCGAAAAAACTCAAAAATTTTACCCGTCCCCGAGGACGGCTTGTCCAACAATGTACCTGTCCTCCTTTGAAACTAACCCGTAGCTTCGAAATAAATAAAAATATAATTTTCTGTTATTTATTACAAACATTTATATAAATTGCATAATGAATTCGTAGTTACTAGGATTACATTATACAGTAATAAAGGAAATACTAGGTTACTAATAGGAACCTAGTATTTCTTTATGAAATAATTTATCTCTTTTATGAAATAATTTAAAGGACAAAGGCCAAGTTATCTGGAATGTCTATTTATCCGAGGGTACTGTGTTTTTTAAATGAATAAATTATGACGTTCGCCAGTCCCCCAATCAAGCCAATGATTTACAAGCCCCTGCACAGAAATCTGAAAGGGGTTTTCCATTTAGGTAGATGTTCATAATTGCGTTTAACGCTTCTTATTTAAGACCAGTACGTAATGTGTTTTTTTTTTTTTTTTGTAAGTTCATTGCTGAAAAGCCCCTTTCAACCGCTGCAGTACTCCCAGACAGAAAAAACATCAATTCCACCATGCGCAGTATGTTGCTGTATTGTGGGTTATCTTAGAAGTGAGGTGCTAGACTCTTGTAAGATAACAAAAATTGAAAATGTATCACTAACATTAACGGGAAAATGGCCGTCCGCGCGGACGTCGGATTCGAGAAATTCGTTGTCCGCGGGGAATTTTTGACCGCCGAGGACGGGTGGTTTTTCGAGGATGTGACACTTATTGCAGGTGGTTCTTTCGTGTTTTTACAACATTTTATAAATTCGACTTAAAGTAATAAAAGACTATAAACTCCTCAATATGACTCTGACTAATATTAAGCTTTTAGTTGTAGAGGGGCATTGAATTCATCTGGACCAGCTTTGCTATTTTACCACGCATTGAAAAAAAATATTTCGCCTTTTTTAGTGCTATAGTATTAAAGTGACAACTCTTTATATATTTCTCAATCCACATCCAGTTTGCGCCAACCACAGTGATGACATAAAATATCTTCAGTGGTAGACGGATCATGGGTTAGAGTCCTTTTGTCGTCAGGCTAACCGTGGGAGCATTACGTGGTCTTCCCTCCGTGTAACGCAAATGCGGGTGAGCTCAAAAAGTCTTCCACGAAGGCAAATTTCTTCTAATACTTGATCCAGGAGTTCCCTTGTCATCTGGATTTGGTTCAAAATTACAATGCTACGCTGTTGAACATTAGTAGTCGTAAGCCCAAAAAATTGGGTCGGCTGTTCAACGACGGTTATAAAATAAAATAAAATATATTTCTCTTTGCAAATGACTATTACCTATCTTCTTTTAAACTGCAACTAAATTAAAAAGTAATATTTTGCAATGTATATTGGCATTATATGAGATTACGCCATGCATTAGATTAGGGTTAAATTCTCAATTTGAAAATTCTTTAGAGAATTAACAATGAATTCAGCTTCACTTACATAGTTTAGCGTATTTTTCGGGATTTTCCACCCAAGACGGTGATTTCAGTATGAGTGCAGGTGGCAGAACATGCAAAATGACGCCGGCAAGAATGAGAAAACCTCCACTAAGTCCATAGGAATCCAGCACAGTTTCGATCAATATGGGAAAACCCAAACTTCCAACACAAACTCCTGATAAAGCTATTCCTGATGCTGTAGCCCTATATTTCTCAAAATATTGATTTACAATTACCTGGAAGAGTGTGTTAGCAAAGGCAAATCCAACACCTATACATAAATATATAGATATTATTGCCTATATATAATATTTTTTCTGGTGGCAAAAATGTTTTATTACATAGCAGTAAAAATTTATTTACACAATACAAAAAAGAAAGAAATTTAATTATATTAATTTATTAATTGCATTTACAGTTATTAATTGCAATTATTTTAATTGATTATGTGTATTTAAAAATTTATGAATCTCTATATTAATATTTTATTTTTATGGGATCACTTATTGATTAGCTTTAATTATATTTATTATTATTCATAACATTACTTAATTTAGGTTAATTACATTAGTTGATTACTATTATTTAAATTATTTAACTAATATATTGCACCCAAACCTTAACTACACTGGTCAATATTATTTTAGTAACATTAATATCATTTTAACTATAATTAACTCATTTCGATGTAAGAACTTAACTATTTTTAAAAAAAAAAATATTTTAAGGCAAAGTTCTTTAAAAAGAAAGAGAAATATTTTCGTTGAAATTATAATTTAAGGTGATAGCTTCTCAGGTTTTATACAGTAATTTAATAACATGAAATGTCTATAATATACTTAATTCCCGAAACGCGTTGAAAGAAATTCATAGGAAAAATATTTTTTTAAAAACTACTCCTTTATACCAATTGTTACTTTTCCTCATGATATGTTTTAATGTTATTACGAAGACAAGAAAAGAAAGTAAGAAAAAAGATAAGGCATTATTAATTGTTACATAGCAATTAGAAGAACGTAGCGAGAAAAAAAGGCATGTCATAATGGCATTTAGTTCAAGTTTTATATTCTACTTGCACATTGAATGAACTTTTTAGTGTCTTTTAGGGTTTTTAAATAAAAGTTGTTAAGTAGAAATTACATATTGTTCAAAATAATACCATGCATTCCACCCCAAAAAATTGTCAACCAGAAGATATTTGGCGCAGTCCAACATAGTGCTGCTCCTGCTGCTGCCACTATTCCTCCGCAAAATGTCACAGTTCGAATACCATAACTCTGACCCACAATGCCAACCAATGGACCTATCGAATCAAATTAATAATATGTTCTATTGTATTTTTAGCTCCAAATTCATCCAAATCAATATTTTTAAAAGTTGCTGCTAAAACGGAAAACAGTTTTGATTTCAAAATTTCATATTTTTTCTTTCTTTTTTTTTCTTTTTCTTTTTACTATAAACAACTTATATGAATTATAATGAAACATTTTATTTGATCTTTCCTATTCTCTTTTTCTTCAATGACTATGGATGGACCATAGTCTTCTTCAAAAGTCGTATTATGGGTCCTCAGATACATAATTCAGGACGTAACTAGTAAGACTTTAGTAAATTAATTCAGTGCAGAATTTTATAAAATTGGAAATTAAGCATTTACACTGGAAAGACGTGCTTTTGTTAGATAATCGCCAATAACGTGCTGTACATGTGTCAACAATCAATGATCACAGAAATAAAAAAAAAAGAAACATTCATTGTTCATATTACAGAAATTGACAAGATAGTATTGTTTTCTATAAGGCATCGAACTCTAAAATCCTAAGTAAGTAGCTGTCTATTGTTTTGGAAAGTGCATCTACTTTTTTTTTTTGTCACGTGACAAAATAATGGTTAAATATGCCAAATGTTTGAATTGCCATTCAAGCTATAAAACGCCTTTTTATGAAAGAGATCATTTTACTTATTCCTGAAGTTATCACAGTTTTGAAAGACTAGAATTGAAATGCTTAAAAGCAAAACTTACTCAATCAAAAATAAATCAAAGGGGAAAACAAATTTAAAAAAAAAATTTTTTTTTGACTTAAAACTACTTTCAAATTTAAACCTAGACATTTCATTGTATCAAAAATTTTTTTAAAAAATTCAAAATTTGCTACAGTTTGAAAAAAAACTCAGTTCTTTACCCGATAACTCAACATGTTCTTTACCCGACATGTTCTTAACCCGATATTTAAAAGCAAGAAACACTTTTTCAAAAATAATTCAAACGCGAAAACAAATTTTAAGAAAAATTTCAACTTAAAACTGCATTTAAATTTTAACCAAAACACAATGCATCATAAAACATTTAAAAAAATTTAAGGTTTGATACAATTCAAAATTTTTTAAAAACTAAAGTCAGTTCTTTACCCGATTACCCAACATGTACTTCACCCGACATGTTCTTTACCCGATATTTAAAAGCATGACTCACTCATTCAAAAATAATTCAAACGTGAAAACAAATTTTAAAAAAAAAAATCGACTTAAAACTACTTTTAAATTTTAGCCAAAACACAATGCATCATAAAACATTTAAAAAAATTTAAGGCTTGATATAATTTAAAGAAAATTTTAAATAAAACTCAGTTCTTTACCCGATAACATTCGTATAGAATTCCTTACAGAGAAAGGTAAAGACGCTTCCTGTCTCGTTACATGATACTGCTGAAAAACGTATCATTTCTTATTTTGAACCTAGAGTCAGATTAAAAAATAACAACAACTAAGTTGTTTCTAGCAAGGTCATGTGTTTCCTGATAGAAACCGCAAAAATATTATTATTGGGCTAAATATTATTTTTCTACATTTCCTGCCTGTTACTTACGTTTTTAAACATTCTAAATATTTTAATATTTCTCAATATTTTATTATTAAAAAAACTTAATTTTAATTAATTTTCCAAAATTCTAAAATAGCAGGCAACAGTGACGGCAGACGTTGTATTTTAATTTTTTATTTGGTTGAACTTGAAAGGTTGTATCATTAATCCGTTTTTAAAACTTAGTAGAAATATTAATATGCCAATCTTGTTTCTTTAAAATGTGAATAAAGGCATGCAAAAAAATCATAATAAAGGCATGCATTGAATGAATAAAGGCATGCAAATGAGGAAGGCTTGCATTTTTAAGCTTTTACTGTAAACCTTGTTTCTAGCTATTTATTCATTGCTAGTCTAGCTAGTCTTTTCATTCCTAGTCTAGCTAGTCTTTTCATTTGTCTATCTTTGCCTATATAACATTTTGTTTGCGTTGAAAACTTTATTGTAAGAGTTTAATAAAAATATATTTTGGTGCGTATAAAAGTAACGTAAAGTTATTTATGTATTGTTATTCATGTATTAAAATTGATAGATTGAAATATTTGGTATATAGTACTCGTATTTGGATATAGTCATGATTAAAAATAGTTAAAAGTTTGAAATAATAATAATAATTAAATTAAAG